CTTCTTTGTGGTATCAGTTGTGAAGAAACCTTACCTCACACACCTGAAAGAAAGTGGATGGGAGGCAGGGCCTTTGGCCAGCTGGGATTGTGAGATTTAATGACTGGAGTCTTACCTCACAGAACTGCATTACTATCTCCTGCAGCTAGTGTTGCTGCCTTTGGCTGGATTTCAGAGGTGTGATAGTCAACATCTGCTAACTCTTGCTGGTACTAAAATTAACAACGTGACTGATCACTTCTGCAAGAGAGACAGAGAGAGAGAGAAACACAAACACACACAGAGTCAAGGAGAAATAGAAGCAGAGAGAGAAGGAAGATGCAGCCGTGCACACACGGACAGATCTCTCCTTAGCTCCCACCACACACAAACTGTGTTCCTCACGCAACTGATGCTGGGCTGCCTCACCTAGCCTTCTGCATTCTGTACCTTGTCCCCAGGTTTCCAGCCTGTGACAACTTAGGAGGCCCTGGGTGGTGCAAGCTGTTAACATGCTCGGCTGCTAACCAAAAGGTTGAAGGTTCGAGTCCACTCGGAGGCACCTTAGAAGATAGGCCTTATGATCTACTTTCAAAAAATCAGCCATTGAAAACTCCGTGGAGCACAGTTGTACTCTGACGCACGTAGGGATGCCATGAGTTGGGGTCCGCTTGGCAGTGACTGGTCTGGTGGTTGGTGCCAACTCAGGATACCTTAAGTTTTCTTGTTGCCGAAGCACCCATCTCTCTCCACCATGTACGCCTGTCCATTCTGTATTTAGGCGCAGTTGATGGGAGAAGATGCTTTCGTGGTGTTGGGTAGAAACAGAGGCAGCCAGTTTCTCATTTTCCTGCAAAATATCCTCTTCCGGAGGCTCAGCTGGTGGAAACATCCGGTAGAGAAAGTCAAAAAGGAAATGACCCCTTTGGGCCTGACAGCCTTGGAAGCAAAGAGGGGAGGGTCTCAGCCGAGAGAATGGGGTTGAAGGCTGTGTTTGCTTGTGGGGCAAGTCTGTGTCGCTGGTCCAGGACATGCTTACTCAGTGTTCCCCAGCCTGGTTCATTTGCCATGGCCCTAAGCACTCGTGACGCAGGGTCAGCGTTAAGGCAGTGGGACGTGAGAAGAGGACACTGCAGACAAGCTGGCTGCTGCCCATCCCCAAGTCTTGAGGGGGTGTTCCAGTGTCTTCAATACTATGGGAGACATCCCTTCATAATTAAAAAAAAATTTAACTTATTACTGAAGTCATATGCATAAAGGAAAGTGTACATATTGTAAGTAGATAGAGAGCTTGATAAAAAAAAAACCAAAAACCCATTGTCATTGAGTCATTTCAGACTCACGGTAACCCCATGTGTTACCAAGTAGAATTGGTCTAAAGGGTTTTCTTGGCTGTAATCTTTATGGATTTATCCCCTCACGGAGATGGATTGACACAGCGGCTGCAACAAAGTGCTTAAACATAGCAATGATTGTGAGGATGGCACAGGACTGGGCAGTGTTTTGTTCTTGTACATAGAGTCGCCAAGAGTCGGAACAGACTCGATGGCACCTAACAACAACAGCAACGCTAATCTTTATGGAAGCAGATTGTCAGACCTTTCTCCTGCAGTGCTATTGGGTGGGTTAGAACTGCCAATCTTTCAGTTAGTAGTTGAGTACTAACTGTCTGTACCACCTAGAGACCTGTATATAACTTGGTATGTGTTCACAAACTGAACATTCCCGTTAAATCGGTGCCTAGATGAATAGAACATTACCATCATTTATGTAGGCCACTCATGACCCCTTCTCGTCAGTAACTGTCTCCCCTATCCCCAGGAATAACCATGTCCAGGCTTCTAACAGCATGTACTTGCTATAATTAAGTGGTTGAGAGCTATGGCGAGCTATGGCTGCTAACCAAAAGGTTGGCAGTTTAGATCCACCAGCCGCTCCTTGCAAACCCTATGGTTCTACTCTGTCCTGTAGGATCGCTATGAGTCAGAATTGACTTGAAGGCAACAGGTTTGTTTTTTTTATAACTAAAATCAGAATTTTTTTTGCATATGTGTATCTGGCGTCTTTTACTTAAAATTGTGTTTGGGAGATGTACTCATATGTTGTGTGTAGTTGTCGATCATTCTCACTGCTGTAAATATTCCATGTTTGCATGATTTAAAAATCCATTCTGCTGTTGATGGTGTTTGAGGAGTTTCCAGTGTTTGGCTGTTACGACTAGAGCTGCTGTGAACATCCTTGGACGTGTTTTTTGGTGAACACATGTACACATACCTGTGGGCTTTTACCTAGGAGCGGAATTGCTGGGTCATCGGGTATGCATATGTATTCCACGTTCACGGAGTTGGCAGTTCAGACCCTCACGGCATCACCATGGAAGAAACGTCTGGGATATGCTTCTATAAAGTTACTGCCAAGAAAACCTTATGGGACAGTTTTACTCTGTAACACGTGGGGTCACCCTGAGTCAGAATTGACTGGACGGCAATGGTCTGTTGTTTTTCTGTTTTCGATAGTGCAAAACAATTTCCCAAAGTGGTTGTTTTTCTTTAGAAGATCTGCCCACCAGCGGTGCATGAGAGCTCCTGTTGTTGCATGCGGAAGCCAATCCTTGGTATTGTCCGTCTTTTTGATTTTAGCCATTCTGCTATAGAGAGCAAATGGCTTGCAGGGAATTGCACAGCCAGGAAGCAGCCGAGACAATGAAATGCTCCCTGAGAGAGAAGCATGATCATTTGATGGTAACAGAAGTCATGGTGTACAGCGTGTGCATCGTGCGGCCTTGGCCACCGAGGGTGTGGTGGCCCCCTTCTTACCTGTGCGCTCACGCTGCCACTGCCCTTGGTCAGGGACCACCACTTTGCTGCAGTAATACCCAACAGACCATGTAATAATTCTTCCTCAGGTGACAGAACCTTAATGGACCCAACTCTGACAAAACAAACTTGGCTTCAGACTTGCCTGTAGGCCTCAGTAAATATTTAACAGTCTGCATTCCCATTCTCTGTCCTGCCATTAACGGTTCCATAAATCAATGCTCCCCTTCCTGCTATAAGCAGCCCCTCATGCCCACTGTACTCCGGTCCTGAAATCCTGGGATGGGGCCGCTCCTTGGCCGGCTGCTCTGGGCTGGCAGCTCATGGTGGTTGTGTTAAGAGCTGAGGAATGAAGGAGGGGCGTGTGTGACAGTGCTGGTGTAGTTCTGCCTTCAGCTCGCAGAAGGCCTCTTCCGTTTGACGGGTGCAGTGATTGCTAACATCGAGCTCCTGCTCTGTGCTCTTCAACGTGCTAAGTGCTTTCTGTGGATTATTTTATCTCTGTCTCATAGCAGTTCTATGAAGGAAGTAGATGTTATTTACCCCCGTTTTACAGATAAGGAAACTAAGGGTTAAAGAAATTTCCCCAGAGTAGCTTACCTAGTCAATTTGGTAGTCTGACTTCAAACCTGAAGGTTTTAACCACTGTTCTCTACTGCTGTCTTAGCGGCAGCTATTTAGGCACTTAAGCTTCCGTTCAAACCCATCTTTCTCTTGGGCTAAAGGCTGTATGCCAGGTGGACTTAAATGGGACAAGGAGAGCTGTTGCAGTTAAAGTAAATAAAATACTGTGTGTTAAGCCCCAGTCACAGTACTGCTCATGTAGAAGAGAGGTGGATAAGGGTGCAGACTTGGAAGACTGTGTAGCTTCAGATTCTGGCTCCACTCTTTTTAGTTTGAAGCAAGTAGTTGTCAGTGCCCATTTCCTCATCCGCAAAATATGTGCAGTGGCTGCAGAGTCACTGGGAGAGTGTATCAGATGGTGGGGGCAGAGTTTTTAGCAGAGTGAGTTGTAGGCACCCAATGAAGGACCTAAAAAAAAACCCCAGAACAACTCAAAGCAGTTGCTGTCTAGTCAGTTAGTCAACTCAGACTCATGGCAATGCTGTCTGTGTCAGAACAGAACTGTGCTCTATAGAGTTTTCAATGGATTTTTCTTTTTGGGATGTAGATCACCAGGCCTTTCTTCTGAGGCACTTCTGGTTGGACTCGAGCCTCCAACCTTTCAGTGAGCAGCTGAGCACATTAACCGCACTACCCAGGGTCTCCAATAAAGGACAGTTACCGTTATTGTAGCAGTGGGCTGGTGAATGGTTGGGCCTCAAGCCCTATGCACAATGGATCTGTTTGTTACTCAGTTATCTTTGGAATAATTTAAGCATACTGGGTTGGGGGGACAAAAGTTATCCCCAAATACCTGGGAACAACACTTGGTACCCAGTGGGTACTCGGTAGTTGCTGAATGAATGAATAAAAAAGTAACAGGCCCCAGATCCTGCCCCGAAGATGCTCACAGTGCCGGAGAAGGCTGGAGGGATGCCAGGATTTTGTGGTTGTCCTTAAATAGAGAGAAAACAAAGAACTGCTTTCTACCAGCTGACCTAAACCCCCTCGGCTCACTGCCTGGACTGCTTCCCGCTGCAGCAGAGCCCAGGGCTGTGTGCCAGTTCTGCCCTTGCTGTTAACTCCTAGCAGCCACCTCCCGTCTCTGGGCTTTTCTCTCATCTTTAGAACAGAAGCACCACAGTCCCCTCTGCCCCCCCAGGGTGGTTTGCCAGTACCAGTTGCCGTCGAGTTGACTCTGACTCGTGGCGACCTCATGTGTGTCAGAAGAGAAGTACGCTCCACAGGGTTTTCAGTGGCTGATTTTTTGGAAGTAGATCGCCAGGCCTTTCTTCTGAGGTGCCTCTGAGTGGACCCCAACATCCAGCAACCTTTCAGTTAGCAGCTGGGTGTGTTAACCATTTGCACCACCCGGGGACTCCCCCAGGTTAGTTTGGAGGTGCCCTGAACAAATGACCTTGGTGCTTCGTGGACCCCAGGCTTACCTTTGTTTGACGCCATAGTTATAGGGAGTTATTTTCAGTGAGTTCCTCTTCCAGTCTTTGAGAGGATACCAACCCTCAGTGCTGAGGTCAGATATAAGGAAGGGTCACTGCTGCTCTGGGTACCTGATTGTGACAAGATTATTTCTCCTTTTGCCAGGCCCGGAGCTGATCTTTGGACCAGAAGGGAATTAAAAAGATGCCCCTGACAAGGGCTGCACCTGCCAGTTGCACGGAGCATTGTTTGCGGATTTTCCAAGCCTGATGGATTTACAGTGATATTCACCTGCCTGGGGAATAATGCTGGTGGAAGCATTCTGTGGAACTCTGCACACGCACACATTTCTGGATGCTAAAAATGGTTTGAAGGCAGGCTCTTGGTGAGTGCCATGTGGATTCCTGCAGCCTGGATACCTGTGGGGGACAGAACCATGCTTCCTGCAAGGCGGAGATCTCTGTCCTCGTCTTAGGCAGGGATGTTTGGTTGGGTCTCTACTAGCTCCCTCTGGGGGCACCCTATGAAACGTAAGTCCCCCCCACCCCCGTCTCCTTCTTGTGCGTGAGTCTCACGCATCTTCTGTCAAGCTCCTGTCTGGACTTTACGTATGACTCTCCTGGCTGGGTGGTGGGGGCTCACAGTGCTGGGGCCAGCTGTCCAAAGGAGCTGGCATTTAATGAGTGCGCGCTGCATGTCTGGTGTGGTGCTGGAAGCTTGGGGGAGGCAGATGGAAATGGAAAGGTGGCTCCTCTGTGCTGACTTGTGGATCATACCTATCCCACGTCACGGATTTTCCTGGTTCAGGTGTCTATCTCCGTCTACTAGACTGTGAGCTCCTTGAAGGCAGGGGCCTCTTCTGCATGGTTCTGTGTCTCCCAGGTACACTGTAGCACCTAGCACACAAACACAGTCTCCAGTGCCAAATGTGGCAGTCCCTGCCTTGGAGATTAAATGAGGGAAAATACACATAGGGTATAATTTCTTGGCATCAGGCTTAAACAACTCAAGACTCTATGGTTAGAACTGTGAGAGTTGAGTGTTAATAGGGCGTCTGTGGAGCAGACAGACCTGGGTTGGAATCTCTTACACGTACACACCATGTGACTCTGGAAGTTACTGCTAGGTTCCTTTCCCTTCTCTCTTCAGTCCACTTGTAGTTGCTGTTGAGTCGATTCCGACTCATGGTGACCCCACGTGTGTTAGAGTAGAACTGTGCTCCATAGGGGTTTCAATGGCTGATTTTCTGGAAGTAGATTGCCAGGCCTTTCTTCTGAGGCACCTCTCAGTGGACCTGAACTTCCAGCCATTGGATTAGCAGCTGAACATGTTAACTATATGTATCACCCAGGGACTCCCTCTATTAAATAGGGTTGAGGTATTATCACCCTTCGCAGGATTGGTGTTGGATCACAAAGTATACACTGATTTGTGAAACACCCAGCATTGTGCCTGGCACACCGCGAGTGCTCAGTAAATGCTAGGGTGTAATGCTGGTTGGGGGAAGACTTCTGGGCAGAGCCAGGTGGGCAGGATGGACTTTGTGTTCTGGCACACCTGGTTGGTGTGGACAGTTGAGTAAAGGTCACAGTCCAGGGGAAGGCCGAGTGGCAGGTCAGCGGCAGGCAGGAATAGGAGCTTGGTGCCTGCTGTGAGATGGAGCCCGGGCTTGGCAGCAAAGGCTGCTGAGGGTTGGAGCTGAGATCAGAGGGACTGGCCTCCCGGGCCCTGACCTGGCAGTGTGTAAGGTTGGAAGCTCTCCTCTCTCCGACGGATGTTCACCTTTGCTCTGGGCTGCCCCGCAGGAGAATGGCGGTTCCCACGGCAGGTGCCACGGGTGCACAGGTTACCCGGGGCCACCTGGCATTGGGCTCTGAGACTGTGTTGGGGCGGGGCCTGGTTTTGATTTTGATTGGGCTCCAGGCCTGCATTTGTGCCTGATGGCACTTTCTCATGCCCTCCTGATGGAAACCGTGTCCATGGTTGTCACACGCTGTTCTCCACAGTGCTGAACTGCTTTATAGTTTTCTATTAATTGTGCAGGTTATTTGATTTTGCATCTTTCTCATACACTAGAAAGTCATCTCTCTCTGAGGTCAGGAAACATGCCTGTCTTGCTCACAGGCTAAACGTACAGTAGGCATCTTATTCGTTCCATCATGCTAGCCAGGTAAGATGGTGGTCCACGGTGTTCTGGGTTTCTTTAAAAGGACCCACCAAAGGGTTGCAGCCTCTTTTTGAGCATCTCTATAACTTACCCTGGCAAATCACCAGATGGGCAATGGTGTCCCCATTTTACAGTTGGGAAGCTTGAGGCTCCAAGGGGCCAAGGAACTTGCCCAAAGTCATTTATCAGGAGAAGGCCGAGCAGGAAGCCAAGAACCACTGGTTGCATGGAACCACGCCACTTCAGCAGAAGGGGAGCGATTCTTCCTGTGGGGAGCACTTCCTGCTGTGAGTGTTGGTTGGGTCCTCAAAGCCGAGTGCACTCCTGGTCCTCTGGGAGAGAGGTTGTTTGTTGTCAAGTCAGTTCTGACTCATGGTAACCCTATGTGCACCATCTTCACAATTGTTGGTATGCTCAAGTCCATTGTTTCGAGCACTGTGTATTTTGAGTGCATTTCAACCTAGGGGGCTCATTGTCCAGCACTATGTCAGAAAATGTTCTGTTGGGATCCATAGGGTTTTCGCTGGCTAATTTTCAGAAATAGGTTGCCAGTCCTTTCTTCCTAGTTTGTCTTAGATTGACTCTTCCACTGAAACCTGCTCACCATGGGTGACCCTGCTGGTATTTGAGATACCAGCATCATAGCAACGCGTAAGCCACCACAGTATGACAAACTAGCAGATGAGTGGTGGTCAGGAGAGACGGACACTACGTAATGGACTCAGCTCCTGAGCTGAGGAGGCAGGCTTCACACTGGGCGCCAGGGATGGGGTGGGATGGGACTGTGGTGCAGCGGTCGGGGCTCTGGGTCTGGGGGACCCTGTGCCCTTGGGTTAGTGGAATTTGCAGCACAATGTGATAGGTGCCATGCTTGCCAGACAAAGGTGCCCTGTGGCCGAGCAGGGGCAGGGAGAGGGTCATTTCAGGGAGGGGGCTGTGTGATCTGGGGAGCCCTTTGTGGGCTGGGAGCTTGGGCTGGGCTCTCCGTGGTGAGGGACACAGGGTCTCAGTTAGACGTGAGCCGGGGAGACGGAGGCATGGGGCTCTCGCTCCTCTCCTTGCCATTCCCCACCCCCGTTCTGGCAGCTGCACCCTCACTTATCACATGGCTCACAGCGCTGTTGGTGCTAGTTTTATCGGTTACTCCCTAGAACAACCCATTGTGGTGGTCCGTGGTGGTCCCAGTTATCTCAGCTGCTCATGGTAGGGCGAGGGCCGGCTCAGGCACGAAAAGACACACAGTGGTCATGGCAAGAACTGTGACTCCTGCTTCCCCGCCTTTGTGACCTCCTGGGCTCCTGCCTGGTGTCTGTGGGGTTGCGCCCTGCGGACACTGACGCACTCACGATCACCGTTTGTTAAGCTAGGCTCTGTGCGGGGCACGCAGCAAACCTTATTCCAGTCAAACCTTGGTCCACACCTGTGGTGTAAGCTGTTATTATCTCATTTACCATCTAAGTGCTGGTGCACAGAGAGGCAAAGCAAGTGTCCCAGGGCTTGTAGCCAGGGTTTGCACGCAATTCTGTCTGACCCCAGAGCCAATAGACCACATTGCTTGGGGCTGAGATGCCCTTCTGCTCCTGTCTTGGCCCCCAGCAGCTGTGTGACCTTGGGCAGCTCACTGCCCCTCCCTGGGCCTCAGTATCCTCGTGGGCAGGGAAACCCTCTGATTTATCTTCTAATCCAGGCACTTTTTTTAAAAAAAATATTTTATTGTATTTTTGGTGTAAGCAGGACACGCTCCCATTCAGCAGTTTCTACACGTAACGTTCAGTGACATTGGTTACATTCTTCACATTGTTGTCGACATTCTCATCATTTCCGTTCTAGTTGTTTCACTCCCATTAATTTCGTCTCACTGCCCCGCAATCTTCTCATCTATGCTTTAGAGTCACTGTTGTCCGTTTGGTCTCGTGTAGATAATTTCTTAAAGAGCGCAGTACTCAAGGGTGACATTCTTTACTTTTTGAACTAACCTGCTATTTAGTTTAAAGGTGACTTCATGGAGCCCTGCTGGTGCAGTGGTTAAGAACTTGGCTGCTCACCAAAAGGTCAACAGTTCGAATTCACCAGCTGCTCCTTGGAAGCACTATGGGGCAGTTCTACTCTGTCCTATAGGGGCACTATGAGTCGGAATTGACTCGCTTCGAGGTTTAAAGAATATCTCAGGGCAATAGTCTTGGGGATTCCTCCAGCCTCAATGGGTCCAGTAAGTCTGGATTTTTTGAGAATTTGAAGTTCTGTTCCATATTTTTCTCCCGTTCTGTCAGGATCCATCTATTGTGTCCCTGATCAGAATGTTCTAAGCTGGGGCGTTTTTGAGAGTGAAAGGGGAACTGGAATCCTTACCTGGGGACTCTCCTGGGCAAACTGGGCCTGGTAGTCACCAGTGCTGCTGCTGCTTTGCGTCTGCATCCAAACCGACTCCTCCAGGCTCCCCGTTGGGTGTTCGTGGGCAGCTTGCGTTTCTGCTCGTAGCGCACGAGTGTAGCCTGATCTGATCGCGCAAGTCAGCCTTCAGCCAACTTGGAAGAACCCATTTCCCTTTGAGCCCCACTGTCTTGGGCTGCTGTGGACAGCAGGCCTGGCCTCGTTTTTTTTTAACTGATGGTGGTTGACAGCACTGTCTAGTTCTGGGGGGGCTGGGGAATGCAGCGCTGCCCCCCAGCCCCCCAGACACCTCAGCCAGCGTTCCCTGAGATCTTGGCTCCGCACCCTGGCCCTGTTCCCCAATATGGGTGCCTGGACCCCTTGGAGGTCTGCACAGGGTCACTGCAAGAGTGAGGCTGGGACTCCCTCTTCAGGCCCAGCCTGGGGGACCAGGGCTTCTGGATGCACAGCCGTTGTTGTTGGTTGTCGTGAGGTCGATTCCGACTCCTGGTGACCCCACGTGTGCAGGGTATAACTGCTCCATAGGGTGGCATTGTTGAGTATTTGGTGCTTTATGAACCTAGAGTGCGCCCCTTTAACCTTCTACCCAAGAGAGGTCGGCGTGGTCTTCCTTTTACATATGAAGAGACTGAGGTTCCCAGAGGTCAAGAAAGCTGCCAGGGTTATCCGGGAAAGGGCTGTAAAAGCTGATGTCAGCCTTCAAGGCCCTCACCCCTTCTGCCCTGCCAGTGTTCCCCAAAGTGTGCTGATGATGATAGGCAAGACGACTTTAGGTTATAAGCGGACACTCTTGTTAAAATTTGTTATATATTTATTTTAATTTGAGT